TCTGTATTCAGAGAAAAGGAACAGAGCTGTCCGGTGTCTCTTCTTACAAGGACAATAACCCATTAAGCCAGGGCCCTACTCTCTTGATCTAATTATCTCCCAAAGGCACCGTCTCCTGCTGTTATCACACTGGGGCTTCAACATACGAAATTTGCGAAGACACAGATACTCAGTCCGCAGCACCACGTGAAGTGTGTTTCTTGGAACCTACCACTTCTCCATGAATGGGCCCTGCATATACTATGTTCCCTTTTCTTGTTTGTGTCATAATTGATGCAGGGACCACAATTAAAACAGCGCCTGAAATGAAATTGACCTTTTTCTAAAGTAAAATCATGGAGGTATTAATAGTTGTATGTGCTCTTATGAAAATGAGCTTGGGAGGAAAATGGCTGGTTTTATAAAGTCAAACGAGTCTAGCATTCTTTCTGGATAAAAAATAAGGTCTTAGCTGAAGCTCCCGCTTTATATATAATCGTATAATCAGAAGGTGATTTTGATCAGGAGGGAAGTTATCAGGCAGTTTTTGGCTTGTTTTTCCTCTCAGTTGGCTCCCTGCTATTCCCCAAATAAGTAGTTCCTTACCATGTGCTTTAGAGAAAATCCTCCAGTGGGAGAATACAAAAGGCTAAAAGTGTGTTTACTTACTTCCCCCTCTCAGTGTAATTATGGCTTTTTTTCAGTGTTTCTTGCTTATAAATGTAAGTGATGCTCTCCGGTCTTGTTTACCTGAAAGAACCACGAGTTTCCAGTAGAAAACGAGAGGAGGTGATCTCTAAGTGCTGAAAATGCTTTTGTTTTTGTTTTCTTGGTGGTAGTGAGAGGTTGAGGGGGTCAGAAAAGTCTTTTTACTTAATTTCCTAAGTCTAGATTTGAATTCACTTGGTAATTGATAAACTGTGAGTAAGAAGCCACCGCTATTTATTTGTTGAATATGTAGCAGCTCTATTGAAAACCTAGGATTCGGTATGTGAAGGCATTTCTGACAGCCTTTGCCCAGGGAAACAGCTTTCAAGCTGTTCTTATTTGCATCTCCAATTTTCTCTTAAAAGGTTCCTTTAAAACATTTTCTTTCATTGAGATTTTTCCATGAATGCTACCTGGGAGTAAAGTTAAAGATAAAAGAGCAGGAAAATAATGCTTCTTTTTAGAAAATTGAGATATAATTTGCTTACCATGAAATTCACCATTTTAGAGTGTACAGTTCAGT